TGCTGAATTTTAAGTTTTCTTTTTTTGTTTTACTCATCTTATTTTTTTCGTAGATGCTTAAATCATACTGATGTTAGTAACATAGTTTGTATTTCAGTAAGGTTTGTCTAACTTGAGGCAAACTGAACTTTAGTATGATACAAGGCCACATGACTGAAACACTCAATAAGGATTGAACTCCACAATAGTGATAGTCTACTAGAATAGCTCCTTTATCATAATCATCAATTACCTTCATAGTTGAGAACTGATTATAGCTTAATCTGGTCACAATTGTCGATTACCCATGAAAACTGCAATTCCAGCACTAACAAATATTTCATGAGACAATCTTGCTGGCTAAAGGAAACAGACAAAAATAGTGACTAGTCATATTTAAAATGAATTTGAAAGAAGAAAAATCTTCTTTTAAATTTCTTTACTTTAGAAATGTTCTGTTCTTTATCAAAGAATATTTAAGCCGTTCTCATCACCCTCCTGGGTATGATGATAAACTATGTCCAAAAGCAAGTCAGTTGATCAGTAGGTTTTGAGGATCGTGGAACCATCTCTTAATTGCTGGTGCTCCAAGGTCCACTCTGAACCAGAGTGGTAGCACCTGTTAGGGTACCAGCTATTGGTAAATAGTTAAACCTCAAACTGGGGTTAAAACACTATGAAAGTGTAAAAATAGGTTTTAATACCAGAAATACTTTGTAAAAAATTATTACCAACAATAAAGTTTTGAAGAAAAATTATTACCAACAATAAAGTTTTGAAGAAAAATTATTACCAGCAATACATTTTTGAAAAAAAAATTACTAGCAATACATTTTTGTGAAAAAATTTTTTACCAACAATAAAAATGTTGTCAGCATTAAATAACCTCATTGAGGTTGATAACCAACCCAATCATTCTCATCAACATTACTGAAAGTGTAAATTAATTCATATAATGACACGAGTCTTTAGTTTTCATATTTTCTGAATTTGAAAGCATTCCCAACAAGTTGAACAAAGTAAAACTGCCATCTGCTCTTGAACAAGGACATCTAATCAGTGGTCAACTGAGGCAAGGAAGGATTTGTAAATTTCAATGCCTTCAAAACAAAACTGCTTTCATTTAATCATCATAGAGAACTTTTTTTTGTCTGTCATCAGTATGGTTGATTTTAACCTCCAGGTGGGCAGTACTTTGCACCTTCTTAGGTTCATGTTTTCCACTGACATAAAGTGGAGTGATTATATTGAATCAATTGCTAGTAAAGTTGGTTTACTGGGTCATACCAGACAATTTTTCTCATCAAAACCCATCTTGCACATTTATAAATCTCCCATTGATCCCTGCATTTAATATTGCTGCCATATCTGGTCTGATGCTCCTGCTGTACATCTAGAGATTCTCGATAAAATTCAAAGTGTCTGTAATATAATAGATCCTGATCTGGCATCTCAACTTCAGTCACTCTCTCACTAACGTAACATGGCATGGCTTCTTTCTCTATTTTTTGCAAATATTTTCATGGTAATTGTTCAGATGAGATTTTCTCCGTGACTACATGAAAACACTAGATTGGTAAATAGGTTTCACCATTTTTACTATTGAACTAGATAGATGCAACCATTTGTTCTATTTTAATAGTTTCTTTTCTTGCATGTGAAATTCCTGATTTCTTGCTTCCCTGTCACATACGATCCTCAAAAATTGCAGTGCCAATCACCATCTTCTGCCTTCCTGAACCCTGTTCTTTTATTGACCTTTCTCCTCACTAAAGCCTTCTCATTCTCTTTCACTGCCTGTAACTCCTTGTGTCCTAGTGGCATTATTGCCTTGCATGGGGTGAATTGATTAAAAAATTTCACTTGATTTATAAAATGATTTATTGATTGAGAGATTCAAAATAGTTTTCTTTCTTTTTTTTACTATGATTTTTAAGGAGGCTGTTATGTATCAACTGAATGTTTTTCAATCTAGTTTTATTTATTAATGTTATAAAAATTTTAAGTCATACCTCCATTATGAGGTTTATTAAAAAACAAATTGGTTTTACTTTGTTGTTTATCTTTTTAATTATTGATTGTTTGAAAGAAATTTTGCTACTTGGTTTATTTGATGTGACTTTTAGATAGATTCATTTGCTTTAATCATTTCACTCCAAGAAAGGCAATGAAGCCACTAGGACGCAAGCGTGAAAGAAGCTGAGAGGACAATAAAAAAAAAACAAGATGCAAATGACAATGCATTTAAACTTTTAAAGATAAGAGTTGATAAGAAAGCAAGGAGCTGGAAGAGATTTCCATAAAAGAGACGTGTTAGAAAGAAAACTACAATGTACAGCAGACATACCTCCTATATAATGGTAAGACATTAGCTAGAGGAAAACACCATTGCCATTAATCTCTTACCATTATATGGGAGATATTTCTGCCACATCCTGCATTAACATAAGCCTTATGCTTATTTGTTGCAATTTTAACCGTAAAGTGATGAGACCTAGTTGCCAATCTAGTACTGAATGTATATTCTTGAAGTTGAATTATGAAAGAGGAAAGCTCATCAGAAAAATTATCTTGAAAATATTTATAGAAAATGCAAAGGGAATATATATTAGCATAGGTAGGAAAATGATTGAACCAAGATAGGAGGTAAAGATCAATGACATTGCAGATACTTCAGCCAGAAATACCAAAACCCTTCAACTTGTGAAGACCAGCATGCTAAAGTCTGTGCAATATCTAAGGCAACAGACCATGGTTCACCATGCTTAACTTATATGAAGAGTCTTTGATAGATATGAACAGACTAACATTGATAGGAAAAGACTTAGATCATGGGGAGAAAGAGAAATTTGGGTACTTGCAAAATATTTAATATATTTCCAATTCTTACATATACTTTAAATTTACACAGATGATGGAGCTATTTACAGACGCCATCATGAGATGATTTGACAAAAGATGACATTCTGATAATGTGAGAAATTATCCAATGACCTTAGTACATCCTTTTGAGATGCTTTAAGCATCACGTATTGACTCTGACCTCCTCTTTCTAAGCGAAATACAGTGGTTCTCTTGGGTTGAGATGACCGCCTGGAACTGGACTTTGGTTAATTTTAGCTTCATATCTCACTAAGGCCCTCTCTATCTACCTGGGATTTTTTATTTCTTGTCAGCTTCTTCATCTAGTAAACGTGGTTGCAGGTCTTTGCAGGCTTCATTTCTCTCAGAAATGTTATTTCCAAGGAGTTCAAATATCTTGACCTGTTTTTTTTTTTGCCCATAACTATTTCACCTTCAATCCAGTTTCCCTATTTATTCTTTAGCTTTCAAAAAGAATGGCCAATAATAACAATACAAATGGATATTGTTGTGAAACACGCACATTCTTCCAGCATCTATTCTTTGAGACAATTACCCATGACATGGATTGATTTTTATGAGATTTATTTGATATCAAGCATTTTGCAATATTGAATAAGATTTTCAATTATTTTTGTTTACCTATCTCATTGTTAATATGCTATTTTTAACCTTTGTGAAAATTGTCATGCTCAGGCAGTGTAATTATTACTTATAAAGAACTATGAGGTAAAAAAAGATAAACTTTTATTTCCATATAAAAATGGATATAAACACGTGCCAGATAAGTAGTCAGTAATGTGTGAGTGAATGTGAAAATTAAAAAAAAACCTTCAGACATAAAAAAAAATATAAAATTAATTAAAAAATTTAAGTAATTAACAAAAACTATTCATGATTTAGATGTTGATTCACATCATTACAGATAAATATGAAAATAGTAACAACGTAACCCATAATAATTTTTTAATTCAATATCAGTGTCAGACAATCATTTTTTATCTATAATCATTTAAAAATCAAAGTGAATTTTCCTCACATCCATTTTGCTACTAATATCTTGATGGATTGTTTTGAACAAAGTAGCCATGTTTTAATTCCTTCCTGGAAGAGGTTGATAAGCTGTAAAAAACAAAATCAATTAATCAATTCTTTATTGTTAATGCCCTTGATTCTTGGCTATGTTTTAGAGTATATTTTTATCTGTAACTTCTATAGCCTATAACCTCTTTATTTTAACCTTTCTTAACCTGTGTACCTATCATATTTAGTGGCATAAAAGAAACCTATTTTCCTCTAAAACTTCCCAGGTCTTATATGCTAAGTTGAGATATTGGGTTTACCAAATGCTGTAAACTAGTATTTGTACCAAATGATATGCTATAACATTAAATGGAAATATGAAAATGAAAGGGTCCCATATGCCATCAATTACTCTGTGTGTGTGTGTGTGTGTCTATATGTTCTCCTTTGTAGTATTGTTTTTAGTAATCCTTGAGGTTGAGATGTTGAACAAAATTTCTTGGAGTTGCTTAGAAGAAATCAGACAAACAGAAGAATGGACACAAGAAGATAGAAATATTTATTCTGTCAGGAACATTTTGTATAAGGAATGTTCTGGATAATTCCTAAAAGCAATGGACAAAATTAACAATGTTCCTGTAAAAAAGAAGAAATGGATGTGGTTGAACTTACTCTGTTATTGAGTGAAGGCATGAGTGAATGTAATGTCTAGACTTTACACTGGCTTCTGGGTGTGTAGAAACGTGTGTCCTTCCTCAGTTGCTGTGTTGCCTGAAAAGAACCACTCTCTTGTTATGCTATGTATGCATGCTCTCATTTTTGTTTTTATATACCCATACTGCTGAAAAGGGTGGCCACTGCAGTGTAATGGGGTTTAAATGCTCTCTCTCCTTAGTATGAGAAGAGCCTGGTTAAATTCAGACTCCAACAAAGATTTATTTCTTTGGCATTTGTGCATATTCAGTTCATCACAAAGGAAAAACTTATGAATTTAGATATTTAGTTGTACAAAGATATTAAGAAATGAGTTATCCTCAAGTTTATATCTGTTCATTTGTTTTTAAATAACTAAATAGACATTTGCTGAGACATTATTTTTTAAAAAATTTTAAATGATTTTTTTTTTTTTTTTTCAGCAAGGTTTAAGGAGACGATTATCAAATTATGATGTCAACCGTTCCTGTAAGTATTTTAATTTTTTTTTACTTATTGCACATTTTCTTATAATAGGGTAAAAAAACAAATAAGAAATGTTAATCAATCTAACATGTTTCACTTTTAGTAAAACTTCATCAGAGATATGGAAAAAATGAAGAAAGAAATTCTGGTATTTTTATTCTTGTGTTTTCAATGGTTAATTGAATTCACATGCATATGATTCATTAAAACAATGTTAGTATGATTTATGGCATTTTAAATGCAGAGAGAAACAAAGCCCTGAGAAATGAACAGATTCCAAGCCTAACTGTAAAAATATAGATATTGCTTTAAGTAGGTAAGTATATCATAATTTTAGTTTGTCTATGTGGGATTCAGATGATAATCTCATTCTCTGATGAAGCTTCAATAAAATTGAAACATGTTAGATTTATAAAAATTTCTTATTTTTTCTATATTTATTACTATAAATTTTATTTTTAGTGGGTACACATTGCTATCCTGTTTTTTTTTTATTTTATTAAACAGTGAAATTAATTACAACTGGCCTACATTGAGAAGTCCTAAAGAAAAATTGTGACTCCAAAAGGGATTGAACCTGCATCCATTTTTTTCCCATCAGGAAAACCAGTTTTTGAGCCAAAGTGTACTTCTACTGGTTTTGCCATGGAGCCACCTTGACAGGAGAAAATTTAAATAAATCTCTTAAGGAAGGCCCATTTATTGTTTCAAGAAATTACTGTTGTTTATGTTTTAAGTATGAAACTGAAGCTAACAGATAGAGATCCAAAGAAGTTCCAATGTGAAATGTACCTTTGTTGTTAGTCTGGTTGTTCTTAATTTCACTATTTTATAAAATAAAAAACAAAGATTGGAACTCAAGCTAAAAATAATGATTATAGTAATAAGATATATATATATATATTCATGCATGTTTCATTAAATAATATTAAATGAAGAAAGAAAATCACAATATTGATACATATTTTTTAATCTAATCTAAGCTTTCGGCTTACATAAGCCATTATCAAAGATGAAAGTTACAGTACAATATATTCCTGTTTGTTGCTGTTAAGGGTGTTCAATTTTTACTTGGCTATTTCAATTTCAATGATAAGGTTATTAAGCTTATCAGACGTTATGAAAAGAATTTACATAAAATAAATAGACAACACTTGTCTATATTATTTAATGAAACATGTATGAATGAAAAAATGCTGCCTAATTACATACACTATATATGTATATACATACATATATATATATATATATATATATATATATATATATATATATATATATATGTGGACATAGAACTTAACACTATATGGTGACTGACAGTTTACTCAAATTATATATAATCTCAAAGAAAACACTATGCTTACATGTAGATACAACCATATCAATAAAACCCTTTGATAAAGGCTTATGAAAGCATTCAGAAGTCATTGGACAACTAATGTTCAAATTCTCCCAGGAAACCAGAAGTATGTTCCAAACTCTAGAGAAAATTAAAAAAACCTCTTAAGCAAAATGATTTCTTTGGTCTTCGACTAAATCTGTATGAATGAAAAACTGTGTGTGTGAGAAAAATAGCATTTATTTTGCAGAAAACACTCTCTTAACATCCATTCTGTCATTTTATCACTGTTAAGTAAGCAGTGTAGACTTGAAATCATAATCTGAATGAAGCAATAAAAAGTAACAAAGTAAGAGGAAAGAAATACTATTTCCACAGGATAATAGCCTACAGGATGAAAGCATTGATTAGTGAAGTTAGTAATTGCAAGTTCAATTCCAGACCTGGATAGCATGGACATATTCAGACTCAGTGGAAACAGGATTAGCAATAAATTATCAATTCAAAAAAAGTTATCCCTAGACATGGACATTTGGATGAGGACAATCTACTGCCATAAATTGAATAAAGTGTTCATTTGAAAACTCCTTAAAGGTTACCTGGATCAACAGATATCTGAAGAAGGCCAAATGGTGCAATGGCCGAAAAGTTGTGAAAAATAACATAAAAAATGAGGTCATTAGTCTAACAGTAAATAAAGAAATAGTAGTCAAAACATGAATAATAACTGAAAATGATTCCTCAAAGAATGTCAAAGACTATTATATTTAATATTCATAGCTTGGTTTTTTGTTATTTTTCTAAATTTGTATAAGGCTAAATTTTATCTGTCTCCCACCTTACTACAGTAGAATACAAATGACTTACTATCAGTCTTTTCTATGTATTACTAACAAATGACATTTGTGACTTAAGTGGTAATGTTTAATTTGTATAACAATTTGTAAAAGCCTAATTTAATAAATATTTCATCTCTTTATTTTTAATTCAAATTTTAAAAATTGCCATATAAAAGCAATGGTTCAGTTGATAAAGTTTTATTTTTAAATTCATTGCATTAACTTACATTATTTACATTGTTCAGACTGTAGAAATATAGACATTCATTGCATTTGTATAAAAAGAAATTATATTTACCTTGTCAAAATTCACTCATAAGAAAACCTACAGCATTTATAATAAACATTGTGATCATCTGATATTCCACATTACTATAAATTCATTGAATGAAACTGAAAAAAATATTTTCTGGAATTGTCTAAATAAGTCAAAATAATCTATTTTATTAGATCTTCTTAAAACTACCAAGTTATTTAATCAAGTGGAAAATAGTAATTTTGCTGAGTTCATTATTATTATTGTTATAAATATTGAAAAAATATTTGTATGTTTCATTCATAGTCAGTTCTATGTAGCTGTGTCAAGCAGATTTAGCATAATGACAAAAAGCACTTTAAAAATAGATATCTTGCTGAAATATATAGAACTTTTAAAGAGGTAAGAACTTCAAAGATGACTTCTCTCTATTTGTAGGATAGGTAATTGGCTAGTGTAAAACACGTGTAAAAGGTTTATTATATGATGTTTTGAGAAGTAACATATATAGTTGTATGGCTAAATCTGAAGGGCTTCTGTTGGTTAGTCTTTAAAAGCTAATCAAAAGACAGGCTTTCAAAGGCTCATTCTTTATTTCCAATTTATGCTCTGGTAATGGCATCAAAGGCAATGGAAATAAGATGAATAATACTTCTTCCATGTGCCATGTCCCTTCAGGCGCTCATGGCTCTCCACAACTTTGAATTTCTTGTATATCTTAGCAGTATTTGTCTTTTTCTCATAATTCTGCCATCCATTCACAGCTGCTCAGAGCATCCTGGGTATGACGATAAACTACATCTGTGTCCTGGGTATGACGATAAACTACATCTGTGTCCTGAGTAAGATGATAAACTACATCCAACAGCAAGGCCTCTGATCAGGAGATTTTGAGGTGTGTGGAACCACCTCTTAATTGCTGGTGCTCTCAGGTCCACCCTGAACCTGGGTGATAGCACCTGTTAGGGTCCCAGCTATGGGCAAATACTTAACCCCCAAACTGAGGTCAAAACACTATGAAAGTGTAAAAATAAATACTTTACTTTAATTATTACCAGAAATAGATTTTTGAAAAAAAAATTATACCAGCAATAAAAATTTTGTCAGCCTTGAATAACCCATTGAGGTTGATATGCCATAAAACAAAACAAACCACACAGATGGTCAGTTTGATTACTCACTGGATCAACCTGTCCCTTTTGCCTTCAATCTGTCCTGTGATACCAAGCTTTCCTTCCTCGTTATGTGACTAACAAATTTCAGCTATCTCTTTCTGATTTTGAGTACAAGTGTTCTTTTTTTTGTTTCCATTTTCTTTAAGATTTCTTTGTTGCTTACACACTCCATCCATAACATTCTCAGCTTTATTCTTTTGAACCACAATTCTGCTGCCTCCAGTCTTCTATCATGTGTGAAGCAATTGCCCAGCATTCAATGCTATATAGGAGGAATCATAATACATAACATTTCTGCACTTTTTCTAAGGAAATTTTCTGGCTTGATAATTAATTGCTTAGCTTTTGAAAGGCATCTATTTCTCTCCCAATGTGCCTTCTGATTTTGGCATCACATTTTCCATCATCTGTTAAAACACTTCCCAAATATTTAAGCTTCGGTACTTGTTTGATTTTAATGTAAAAATACTTTATTTATAAACTGTGTCCTTTGCTTTAACAGCCATGGAATGGTGGCCTAAGAGCTGTAATAAAAAACCACAGAAACTAAGAGAAGAGAATTGTCAAAAATTATAAACGAATAATACTTGATCTAAGAAAATTGAATAAAACTAACAGTACTAATAATACTAATTACACTATTTACCTTGTTTGGACTGTTGTTCTCATCCTTATTGTCATATTCACAATGTTTCAGCTGTTGTATGCTCCGTCCTTCTTCAGATGATACATATTGGAATATTGATCTGAACCCTTTTAGTCCACTGGGGTAGATTGTTCTAGTTCCATGTGCCTCACCTTTTCTGGATATCTCAGCTTCAGTTAATTCCCATTAGTAACTCAACTCTCCAACTTTTTGTTCAAACTCACAACTTTTTGTATTACAGTAATGGAACAATGTAAATAGTGTAAATAGTTACAATACCTCATCTCAGAAATATAGACAAATATTAATAGTACTAATATATGCAAGTAAAGATGGCAGGGTTTGGGAAAATAAGGAATAAAAGTAGTTTAAAAATTTGCAATTAAGTCAATTGATTTTTTAAATGAATGAATTTTTTCAGAAAACTCCTTGGCTAGTCTTTTTCTAAGTACTATATCCCTTTAGGACATGGACAACCATGGCTCTCAACAACATCCTATCCCTCAGTACCCTTAGCAACATTTTTTCCCTTTGCCAAGCCTCCCACTCCCCATTCTGTCATCCATTAAGACAAGCTCATCAGGTAGGTAGGACACTCTTGCTCTCAATGTGCCCCATGAGTGTTAAGTTTTCCAAGTCCTCCTTCCTCATTATGTGTCCAAGTAATTTCAGCTATCTCTTCCTGATTCTGAGTAGAAATGTCCTTTTTGTTACTATCTTCTTTAAGACTTCTTTGTTGTGTACATGC